AGGACCCATCCACTTGATGCCAAATTACAAAGCAGCATAATCCCTTTCCATAATAACTATTGGCAGCAATTTCCATGATTCCACATTAGAAAATTAATAATTCACTGTAGCTACATACAATGTTACATAATTTTTTCTCTCATCCATGTATTATTTTGGGTTGGACAGTGAGAGAAACGACTGGAAAGGCTTCCAGAACATGCATTTTGGCAGAGATATTTTTCATCTTTCTACATTGCATGTTAAGTGGAGAGTTTAAGAACTTAATAGCCTAGTTCTGACTATATAAGTAATTTTATATGTTACTGCCACAGCCAAGTGATACTTCTTTTTTTTTTAAAGGAGACAAGTGAGCGCTTTTGAATACTTTCATTCTCTTAAGAAAAGAATGTAGCATTTCACAAAGCCTTCAGATTATACCTAGAAAATAAGGCTTCCCTACTCCTGAGGTGACGCCACTAGTGTTTCTGCTAAGCACAAAGGAGAAGACTGACTGTATCTTTTCCAAGGCAGTTGGCAATCGGGCGATAGTTACCTTTTATTTCTTTCCATTTTTAAAATAGCCGAAAACTGAAGGAACAACCTGACCAGTTAACCTGCCTGCACAATGACAGGGCAATGATGATTGCGTGTCTTTAGGTCTGGCTCTGGCTCCCCCAACTCCATTCAGCAAAGGTACCATCATCTAAGTGAACTGACACTTAGACAACTGTGATCATTATAAGACAAATGCAGTTCTCAGAAACCGGAAACACTTTGCTGTCAGCTTCCTGGCTCAGCGTGTTCGCAGGCGTGTGATTATCACACAGCTGCGAATCTTGCAGTATGCTGCGCTTTAGTTATTGCTCAGTTAGGGTTTCTTCTCTAGGTACCAAAAGACTGTATGCCAGATGAATTCATCCTTTATGGTCACATCAGTCTATCCAAATGAAAGAAGGCAAAAAAAAAAAAAAAAAAAGTATTTGTGTCTTACCCTATTCCCTGCTTTCAGGATTTTTAGAAGTCCTTGGTAGCCACTTGGTAACCCTGGTATTTCAAATGATTCAGTGCCATACCTGAGAGACTTTTGGACAAGGTGCTGTCTTTCATCTGGAAATCTGTGGCAAAATTAGTATCCTTATCCTCTGATTGTATTGTGATTGCAAAGAACACTACACTAGGTCTAAGAAGACCTGGTTTGTACTTCAAACTCCATCACAAATTTTCCAGATTTCACTTTCTCTATAAAATCAGGTATTCAAATTAGATGGTCTCTAAGGTTCCCTTCAACTTCATGTTGCTATGATTTTATAGACTTGTTAATTCACCTCAAGCTAAAAATAGCTAATGATAGCTTGAGGTGCAAACCACC